GGTGTGAGAGGTTTTCAGATGTTGCCTCTGTGTCTTGTGTTCCTTTAAAACCCCCCAACATTAGAATAGTGCTGTTCTTCGAGTTTCTGGGAATGTGAGCTTGATTTAAACAGCTTTTCCATTGTTCATTCTCAAACTTTGCCTACTTTGAATTGTGCTGCCTTTCAGTCTTTCTGTTACTCCACCGTGTGTGGATGGCATGTGGCCGCAGCGCTGTTTCCTCCAGGCAGAGCGCACCTACTCCCATGGTGAGGTGCACAGGGGCAGGAACGAGCTGGCTGAGGCATGGCTGATGTAGCAGTGGCTGGTAGCTGTCAGCACCCATGTGCACCTCGCTGGGAACAGCTACCTGTGGGCACTGTAGCTATGAATACTGCACATCTGGAACTGCGATACCTTGCACAGCGAGGTCGAGTTCAGTGTCTTCCCTCCCTTTCTCCTCTCCCTTCTCTCTCTTGCTCTCTGCTGTTAATGGATTAGAGATGATGTGGCTTTCCCCAGCATTGTTTTTAGGTACTGCAGTATCAGCTTCCTTATCAGTTGAAGAAGTACTTAGAGAGGAAATAAAAACTAGACTCTTGCTATAGCAAAAGAACATGTACTGCAGAACATCTGCTACAATCACATCTTCCATTTGTATTTCTCTAAACAGTTAATTTTGTGGTTTGCATTGGTCTCAGCTTTGTTGTTTCCTCACAAACAGCCCCTTCAGAAAACAGTTACAGCTTTTACAGCTTTTCTGTTCTACATGTTCCCATTGGGGCCTTAAGTTTTTATTTGCTTGGAAGACCCTTTTGTTTGCTAAAATCCTTTTGTGCTAAAATGATGTTATCTAACTTTCTCCTGCCAAAAATGCAGTGTCTGTTAAGTTATATTTTGCAGCTTCGGTATGTTCTGCTTCTCTACTGTAATGAAAATACTTTCTGGCTTTTCGTTTTGTAAAAGTACTTTGTTGGATTTGGTTCTTGAAGGTTTATTCACGCTTGAAAGTTCGATTCTCAAACACTGTACTGAGTAGTTTTTAATACTCTCATCACTTGAAGGCTTTTCTAGAATAGCTTGCCTGTAATAGGACATTACCAGAATTGGAGCTTTTCATTTGCTTAAATGCATTTCCTGTCAACACTGCTTGCTCAAAGCTACTTACTCTGCTCTTAAAGAATGGCAGAGAATATTCTAGTCTTAAAGTGCTTGGAAGTGAAGGAGCACATCGATACAAAACCTTCATACAACTTAGAGCAAGTAGACTACCAACAAAGGGAAGTTTTCAATGAAAGATTGCGATTTGGACTCAATCAGAGATTAAAGCTGTAGCTGGCTGAGACCTAAAATGTTGCTGTTCTGCTAAATTGCAGTTCTTGGCACTCTGGGTAAGATGGCTTAGAGCAACACTAGAAAAGATTTCTTCAATGGAAATAATCTGCTTAGGGAGAACCCTGCTAAAATGCAAACTGCTCTGAAGCATGCTTTGAAAAGTACTTTGTCTTCTTGCCACGCTGCATTTGTTGCTGATAATCTTTGGTGGTGGTATTTGGTTTTATGCTGCTGTTTCTAACCCCTTAACTATGTTTTGCTTTGGGGTATCCTGTCATCTTCTAAAGAGAAACTGTTATTTTCATAGTGGCAGAACTGAAGTTAAGTAACTTCATATTTAATTATATCTGGGTATTTTTGAATCACATCTGTAATCAGACATCAAAACAAGAGCCTGTAAATGAAATCCAAACTAGTAGTCTGTTTGCCTTTCCCTGTTAGTGCAACTCAATGAAGACTTGAGTAATGATTAAAGCAAGTCTTGCTTTATTTACCACTATCCTTACACGATTAAGAGAGGATGCAAAGCTTCCTATTCCAGGACAGCATAAATAAGTTGGTAAAGGGCATGTAGTTAGCTGATGTAAAACAGCACTTGAAATGCTTTGCAGTATCTAACTGCAGTTACACGGAGCTGCATCTTCGGTAGGAGTGTGCTTTTGCATCAACAAGCTTCTCACAAGATGTCTTCTTTGAACTTTAATTCAGAATCTCAGAGAGGATTGAATAACTTGAACGTATTCTGTTGTGTGCTGCCTTTCCCTGACTACTTCAAATAATCCTGTGTATGTTAAATTCATTTGTATTAAATCCACAGGGATGCTTCATTTGGGAACTGCACATACAATCTTACGATCTTGGACTGTTTGCAGGGAATAAATAAGGTAATGACACTCTTCCTTAGCAAAACAGATTTCAGTTGACTTTTAAGAAGGAATAATACTGTTAAAATACATTAGAAGATCTCGTTTCAAAGCAGCAGCTGTAAATTGAGGTGTATGCTGTCATGAAGCCTAAGTTACTGAGGACTGCAAGTAGTGACAATGGGGGAAGATTACACCTTTACCTAGCTGGCCTGGTCTCTGGCAGCTTTCTGAACTTGACCTTCTGAATCAGAACCTGCAAACACCCCAGGCCTGGCTGTTCTTACCGCTGCAAGGTAGTGCACTAGATCTGCTATAGATTTGCAATAGATCATTTATGACCAGTGGTAAAAGGGAATAACAAAGGTTCATAAAGTCGAATGCGACAGACACCTAGGTGTGCTGTGATTTAATCTGATCTATCCTTGCAAGCATTTGGTCCCAACTTGCCCCCCAGTCACTTGGTTCAGTGTTTGACACTAATCTTCTCCTTCTTGTTCACAAAGAATGAAAACCAATGTATCTTACTGGTGTTCTGATGTGTCACTTTCAACAGGCCTGGTCCTGGAGAAGATTAAGCTCCAATATGGCTTCGTTAAAAATATAACATCACATCTTAATTTGTAACCTTGTGTTATATACTTCATACTCTAAGTAAAGCTGAGATCTTGTTCATCATTTTGCAGTGATCTTGATGAAGGGAGCAAGCTGTGTGAGCAGCTCTGTACAGACACTTTGCAGATTATTTGTAATTCTTATAAGTATGGCAAAACAAGTGTTTCTTCACGATTGAAAACAGAGAGATCCAGCTTAATATTTTTAGTTCTGTGGGGGTGGGAAAGGAGCTGTCAGTTAACAGCAAGACTCTAATTTGTGTGGCATTCTACAGCTCCTGAAGCTCTCTGAAGCAGGCAGTGCAGTCCTTGTAACTTATCTGCAACAAACTCGACAGAAGGACTTTGAACATCAATTTTTCCTCCTTTGTTCCCATAAAATTTCTTAGGGAATTTTTTGGTCCAATTCAGCTACAAGAGGAAGAAAACACTTGGAGCAAAAACCTTAATCTACAGAAAGATCTCAATCTACCTGGCTAAATTTGGTGTTTGAATTACATACATGTAATACAGGGGGCCTACAATTCTGGAGTGCAGCCAGCCAACGATGCTGAAATGAAATAGGTTTTCCGGTTAAGACAGACCTCTTGGTACCTTGGGTTTCATGACAGCCCCAGTCTATAACAAAGCTGTTCTTGTTTTGCCTTCAAAAGGTGCTTAATATGTAGCAGATAATGGCAGAGGGATGATGATTGTTTTCTTAAATCAGAGATCTGTGGTGTGGTTTTATCACACCTTAATCCCAGAGCGTTGTGTAATGTCTGTACTTCTCACAATGCAGTAGATTGAGTATAAATATATCCTGCAGAGCTGTCTTCCACCTATTCCTTGGAAGACGTTTGGGCTGTGAATTCCTTATTCACAGAATTGGGTTTTGGTGTGGTATTAAGACACAAACCTTTGGTACAAAATGGGCATATTTAATAATAGTGAGTAATCAAATACAAAACTTGACTTCTTTCAGTCCTGTAAGAAGTCCTGGCTAATGGAGTCTAGTGAAAGTCATTCTATCAGTGGAATGTGTATTAAAAGCAAATCACAAAACACAGGTTATACACAGTATTGTATTCTGCATGTGCCATTTTGCCTGGGTATGATGCTGATAAAGTCAGAGTTATCATGTTAAGTAGAGAAAAGCAATAAACTAAACGGTCTATATTTTATGTCCAGCTGCATGAAAACATATTCAGCATAGAAATCATTGAATGGATGTATGACAAAAAGGGAATTGCCTTTTAATTTGTCATCTGCCTTACAATAAAGAACATATGTACATGGTGGAAAGGGGGGAATCAATTTGATGATTTAAGTGATATGCAACAACCTTATGTCCCATTGTAATGTCTTTGGAAGGTTAAAAAAGAGCCTGACGTGCTTTAGTGACATTGTTGGAGTTCTTGTTGTCTGTGTTGTGAATCTGTGCAACATGTCATGTTGTCTTAATAGAAAGGCTTCATTAAGCCAAAAGCAGAAACATTTAGTGTTTTAGTTTTGATTCTCAAAAACACTATTATGAAATTAGATTCTATGTAATATTTCAGTATAAACTGACACCTTGTTGCCTTTTAGGCCTTGCAGCATGGATTTTTTGACTTTAAGACATTTGATGTGGATGAATATGAACACTATGAGGTTTGTACATTTAATAATGAGTTGAATGTGCTTGATTTACCTAAAGTAAGTTAGAATATACAGGGCCTCACAACTGAAATCACACTGGAAATGCATCTGAATTCGAGTTAAAACCCAGTGTTCATATGTAAGGTATGTCCATCCAAACCTGTGTGCATGTGGAAGACCTGTAGGATGAATACCCTTGCCCTTTCAGTGCATCACATAATAACTCTGCTGTTTTCTCGTAGCCCTTCTGGCTTCTGGGATCTCTTTCATGCTTTCCCAGCCTTCCCCCAGGATACGGTCCAAGTCTCCCAGCTGACCCACAGAGCCTGTGGGGTTTTTCCAGCACTTGTTGAGCTGCTTCCTGAGATGCCGTTAGTCCCAAATACATGATATTTTCTTTAATAGCTGCACAGATGAAGCACATTTTGAGCTTTTTGTGGTAAGGATGGATTATGTGGCATTCCAGGAATGAAAATACATCCAAATATTTCCCTAATGAAGTCCCAGAAAGCTCATACCTGAACTAAGTTAGAATATACAGTACCCACAACTGAAGAGTAGATACTTTGTTTGACTCTAGATGCTTCTAGGACTTTGTTATCTAACATACACACTTTTATCTGCTCATAGTAAACACTTATCTCAAGCTCTGTTGCTGCAGAGAACCTTTGAGATATGCCCATGCTGCAGCTGTGAGCTGGGCTGTGTACAGAAGCTGTACCTAGAGCTGGCCCAGAACACTTCCACGAGCTGCCTACCATTTCCCTTGGTTGTGTTGGACCCCTTGTCCTCAGAACTCCCCTAAATTCCTGAAGCTGCACTGGTTAAGGAGAAAAATACATGAACTAGAGGTGTGCCTCTAGTATATGGGCTATATCTATGTACTAGTATATAGTACATAGGCTATATCTGCCTATATACTAACCTCTGGTTAGAGTTGTATTACTTTACTGTAGCCAGTATTCTTCCCTCCCAGCCCCTCTAGTTTCAGCAAACATGGAAATACTGAGAATAAATTTGCTTAGTCTGAAAACACCCATTTTAAAACTTACTCCCTTAAACTGGATATTTCCATTATCAAATAAGGACAACTGCTTTTCTTAAATGTCTGTAACATTTGGTAAAGAACTGTTTTAAAGCAGGAAGATACAGGTGACTCAGTGCATATGTGGTACACACACAGCTATAGGACATACCTCAAGAAAGAGGGTGAAGACAGGAGAGGAATAAACGATGGAAAAACTGTATTTGCAACACACATCTCTACAGTAGATGTTGGCTGCAGCAGGCCCGCTGTAGCATATAGCTGGTCACTGCACCTACAAGCATTTGTAGAAGGAGTTCAATACTGAAACGTTCCAGAATGGTTAGATTGAGAAATTAGAATAGTCTCTGCTGAACTACCAAAATTCAATGACCAGTAACTAAAATGTAAAGTATGAAATTGCTGGGGTTTTGCTTCCTCTATGTACAGAATGAAAAGGTTTGCCTAAACACAAATGGTGGTTGGGAAAACTTAGGATTAGGCATTAATCTGCCTGAAAAAAAGTATTGGAATAATTGACTGGTCTCTCTTTATTTTGTTTGATGCTGAACATTACTTCAGGCTGTGAAAAGCACGTGTGTGTGAATGGTGTTTAAGTAGTCTGTCTGCAGTGTTCTATGGTTTTATGCTTCATGGGCAGCTTTGTACGTTTACATATGTCCTGTGCTACATTCCAGAACCCTTAAATGTTCCAGGGTTTTATTGTGTCAGGTTTGTGGAGAAAAGTTGCATAAGACTTAAAGGGGACAGCTAAAGGAAATTCTATTGCACCTTTGTAGCTCTTTCACCTTACTCCATGATCAAGGCAGCTAATTCCCCTTTTGTTGGACTAGACCTAAAATACTCCAGTTCTCCTTCTGTCAATAGTAACGTTGTTTGCATGTGGTGTTGAGTATATACAGATACCTCTGCAGTTCAGATTGCTTAATATTTCAAGTAACCCATGTAGCTATAAAGAACTACTTGTTTCACAAATAAAGCTGGTAATACAGACACAAAAGTACATTTGACTTACTGAACAACACTTCTTTGCTGAAGGGGCAGAGGTGCTCCAGTGCTGGCATTGCAGTTAGTGACACAAATCCGGGTGCTCGTAGGGTCCTGACCTGGCTGGAAGATGGGTTCACTGCTCCTTATGCAACCTTGTTCACTTTCAGATTTCTTTCTGTGAGGACATTTGGAGCAAGCCTAATGGGCTTCGCAAAGCAAACAGTGGGTGACTTGGTTACAGTAATGTCCGTTATCAGCTCCTTTCACTCATTAGGATGTTTTGAGCAGCTGAGAGCTAAAAACATAAGCTTAATAATGCAGCAGAACTGAGTGCCACGTCCTTAGAAGTCACACTGAGAAGAGCTGTATTGCTACATGAGGAACGAGCGCTCTCCAGTTAGGATAAAAGAAGGCAGTTTTGCACTTTAGTTACACGTTTCCAAAGAAGCTTCCAGTTTTTTGGCACTGCCAGGATTTAAAAAGCCTTTTTGAGGGTTTTATTTAAAAGTGGGTGAGAAATGCAAAAGCTCCTGTTTGAAACCGTTCTTAATTTAGTGGTTTTAATTGATTTATACTTTGCTTCTGTGATTATTGGCTTTTCAGGGCTTATGCCAAGATGTAGATTTCGGTTTCTAGAGGGAAATTAGAATTGTTTTTAAGGCCTAATTGGTTTTAATTTGTTTTCTGTGAATTGGGGTTTTTAGCCAGCACCTTACAGGGAAGGGAAGGAAGCATTTTTCCACGTTCTTTCATTAAAACATACAAGAATGTTGGTGTTTGTAAGTTTTGTAAGTAGGTATCTTAAACTGCTGAAACCTCTAAGAGAGAAGTAGCTTAGAGAGAGGGTCTTTCTGCTTCTCTTTGAGAACTTCAGCAAAATTGCTTTGTGTCTCGTTTTAGGGAGAGATTGCTGCAAAGCAGCTTATGAAGTTGGTGAGTTTGTCCCATATAGATAAGCTGCCTATTCCCATTGAAGTGTTTTGATTTAAGGCAGCAACAACATAGTGACAAGTAAAAACAAACTCGAGATTGACTCTTTTGAACCTTCTCTGTACAGGTATTAAAATGCTTTTCTCTTTTTCTCCTGACATTTTTTTATAGCGAGTGGAAAATGGTGACTTCAACTGGATTGTTCCCGGAAAATTTCTGGCATTTAGTGGACCACACCCAAAAAGCAAACTGGAGAATGGTATGGTGCATATCGTAATGCTGTCCTGTTTCCAGCACCTGCAGCAGTGAGCAGAAGATGGGAGGTTTATAGGTTAACTTTCATCGTCAGAAATAATCATACAGTGAACACTTTGTACACAATGATAGAGCTTAACTCCAAAGGTTTTGGAATTCTTCCTGGCTAGAAGAATTCCGGTTCTTCTGACGGTCAGTGGCTTCCATTCCGTGACAAAGTGCCGGAGAAATTCGTGTCCCTTCTTTTTTTCCTGGAACCTGATACAATAAATATGCAGAATGAAAGGCAAGTTGCATAAAGCAGAGGAGACTGTAACAAGGGAAAGACTGTAAAAAGAAGCTTGCCTTTACTCCTGAAGGTTCTTGGCATAATGGAAAGAACCTGTGTGATCCTAATGGAATAAAAAAGAGAAACTTGACCAACAGAGGGAAAGGAGAGATTTGGTTCAGCTAAACTCAGTCATTTAAAAACTCCAATCAGACTTTTGCTGAATTTCAACTTACTCCTTGTGCTTCTTCCTTTTATAGGTTATCCTCTTCATGCACCTGAAGCCTATTTTCCCTATTTCAAGAAACATAATGTCACATCCATCATAAGACTCAACAAAAAAATTTATGAGGCCAAACGTTTCACTGATGCTGGCTTTGAGCATTATGACCTGTTCTTCACAGATGGAAGCACACCAAGTGACAGTATAGTTCAGAGGTTCCTCAACATCTGTGAGAATGCTGATGGGGCTATTGGTGTACATTGTAAAGGTGTGTGCGCTGTTATTTCCCACATTGAAGTTCCAGATGAGTATTAATCCGTAGAGTTTATTCAGAAATAAAACATCTAAAAATACTGCTTTCCAGTCATGACAATAATCTTGCTTATGATACTTGACTGAATATATGATAAATATTTGTTATTTTCATGTGTCCTTTCCATCCTACGCCACTACCTACAGTAACTGACAATCTGTTGTTCATTGTCCTGGTTTTTCTTACTACCACTAGAAGGCATGAGTTTGAGTTGGTTTCTCTTTTGCATTATGCTGTCACAGCACTATGATCATTGGCCAGGAAATGCAAAAGACTGAAAGGTTTTCTTTGTGCTTTTGGACTGTTGTCTATTTTTCTGTGGAGCACAACCTTCTCGTTTCAAGTTAATGTGAGTTATTGTGATGCCAGCATTTCAAACCTGCCTATTACAGCAAAACAGCCACAAAACACGCTTAATCATGATGATTAACAAAGGATTTGAAGGGTTTGGCTTGATTTCTGTTTGCAGTTGTGTAAGGACATTGTGGAGACAAATGTCTTGCTGGTCTGAAACAAGAACAGTGCTATTCATAAGTTTTCCATGAACAATAAGCATGCGTATCTAAGATAAGTTTATTTGCTAACAAGTTGCTACTGTGGCTAGAACTCTGCAATTCTGGCATTAATAAGCTGGACATCTGCTAAGTGAGTGAGAGAACAAACTAGTGATCAGCAGGAGTAGATTGTTATTCTCCAGCCTTAGTTGCTGAAGGAATATAATACACTTTTCTAGTGATTTAGATATGCACTTGCTAAACTTCCTACTCGTAAACCCAGTAAAAACCAAAATCAAAGTACCTTTGAGAGGGCCAACACACACACTTTACAAATCAAGCTGCACATACATGTGCACAGCACAACAGAGAGCAGCACGTGTCTCCTCAGCCAGTGGCTTTTTCTTCTCGGATCAGCTCTGTTGTGAAACCAAGCTATAGAACTATTCACTGCTATCTGTAGAAACAGCAAGAATTTTGAGCAGTGTATAATTTTCTATATCAATGGCTTGGTAATTGCTTCTTTTATAATATCAGCCTTTAAAAAAAAACCCCAAACAACCAACTTAGAAGTAGAATTGTGCAAATCCCAAGAGTGATCACCACTCCATGCGTTCTTGAACCCTGTGAACTTCTTACAAGCATGATGTGTTTGTTCTTAGATCTGCAGCCTTGAAATCCAGTTATGTGGTAAATGGGCTACTGAACAGAATTTCTTTCTTCAAATATTAAGGTGGTGAATAACATTGTAAAGAAATCTTCTCCTACTTTAATTGGATACTTAGGAAATGCTCCTGATTTTGTATGTGAATGTTGATACTTGCATTTCTGTAGCTGGACTGGGGAGAACAGGAACGCTGATTGCCTGCTACATAATGAAGCACTACAAGTTCACACATGCTGAAGCCATTGCTTGGATAAGAATATGTCGACCAGGCTCTATTATAGGACCCCAGCAACACTTCTTGGAAGAGTATGTATACCTTCTTTGCTACTAAGAATGAACTGCTTCTCTACATCCTTCTCCATCTTGCACTTTATATAGGATCTACTTTCTGTCTACTGACATCGTATGTTACTGCCTGTTGCGGTGTATTTAAGGTTAGTCAACTTGGGATGGAACTCAAACTTACTAACAGTCGTTTTCTCTGGGGTGCTGTGCCTTTTGTCACCTTAAGGGGCAGAGGGTCTCGAGACTCTGCGTGTTTGTGTTCATATATAGCCTATGATGACACTTAAAATTAATCTCACAATAGTATAATTGCTGTGGGGTTTTCTTTCTTGGGATTAAGGATTAAGTATGTAGCGGACAGCTCCTGAGCTCTTTCAGATTCCGAGCGTAATGTATGAAGTGTTTCTGATTTGGAGCTAATGGTCCTTAGCAAAATTAAGGTATGGTTTTAATACAGCTTTTCTCAAAATGGACCGTATACTTTGGGTTGAGAACATTTCATGTGCAGGTAACTTGAATGGGTGAGTCAAGGTTTGATCCTGACTGCAACTGAAAGACAAAATTGCACTGGCCTCGAAGACGTAGGCGTTAAGTTTAATTTCATGGTGGTTTCTACATTGTGCATTTACTTATATACTTACTTACTTATATACCAGCAATACTTATGCTGGTATTTTTTATTTGATACCATGATGATATTTAGTTGGAGGCATTTTCACTGTTAGGAGAGGTTTAAGCCCAGTAGCAGCTCAGCACCACGCAGCCGCTCACCCACTGCTCCCCACTGGGATGGGGAGGAGAGTCAGAGAAAAGGTGAAGCCCTGTAGGTTGAGGTAAGAACAGCTTAATAGTTGAAATAAAAGTAAAATGTATTAATACATTAATAATAATAGAATCATAGAATAGTTAGGTTGGAAAGGACCTTAAGATCATCTAGTTCCAACCCCCTGCCATGAGCAGGGACACCACACACTAAACTATGTCGCCCAAGGCTCTGTCCAACCTGGCCTTGAACACCTCCAGGGCTGGAGCATTCACAACTTCCTTGGGCAACCCATTCCAGTGCCTCACCACCCTCACTGTGAAGAACTTCTTCCTTAGATCTAACCTAAAGTTCCCCTGTTTAAGTTTAAACCCATCACCCCTTGTCCTACCACTGCAGTCCCTAATGAATGATGATGATGAAAAGAAATGGAGAGGAAGGAATAACACTGCCACCCCTCACCCACCTCTCTTCCCCCCTTACACCCCTGAGGAAAAGAAAAACCATAAAACCAAAACTGAAGTGTTTCTCTGTACAGTTGCTCCCCACCCACTGGCTGATGCCCAGCCCACCCCTGAGTTGTGATCAGCCCCTTTCTGACCAGCTCCCCCCAGTTTCTGTACTGGGCACGACGTGCTGTGGTATGGAATACCCCTTTGGCCAGTTTGGGTCAGGTGTCCTGTCTCTGCTCCCTCCTGGCTTATAGTGCCTCTCCTTGCTGGCAGAGCATGAGAGACTGGAAAGTCCTTGATCAGGGTAAGTGCTACTGAGCAACAACTGAAACATCAGTGTGTTACCAGCATTATTCTCAGACTAATGCCAAAACACAGCCCTGCACCAGCTACTAAGGGAGGGAATTATCACAGGTGAAACCAGGACAATTTGTCTCATTTTGGGGAAAAAACCAAGAACTCTGCTAGATGCTGTGTAAATACAGTAAAACGTACACTGCATAGAATCAGAGAATGACCTGGGTTGGAAAAGACCTTTAGGCTCATCCAGTCCAACCATTCCCCAGCAGTGCCAAGGCCACCACTAACCCCTGGCACTGAGGCCTCGTCTACCCAGGGTGTGAACACTTGGAGGGACGGTGACTCCAGCCCTGCCCTGGGCAGCCTGTTCCAATGCCTGAGCACCCTCTGGGCAAGGAATTGTTCCTCAGCTCCATCTAGACCTGCTCTGGTGCAGCTTGAGGCCGGTTCCTCTTGTCCCGTCCCTTGTTCCTTGGGAGCAGAGACTGACCCCACCTCACTCCATCCTCCTGCCAGGCAGTTGTAGAGAGCATCTTAAAATCCAACAGATATCAGGGAGAAAGAAGCAGCATTACTGTAATTCATAACAGAAATGAGTATTCATAACGTGAATGAGGATTCCTATTTCTTTTCCAGTGCAACTGAAGGGGCACTCCCTTACTTGACATCTGGCCTGCCATTAGTCAAACTACTGTGAATCACAAGCTTTCACAAACCAGAAGTGCTCACTGAAGGCATATTGAACTTCTCCACTCTGTGCTGGTGCTTAGATGATGCACTCTGAAGAATAACTTCCATAATAGAGCAAAATTGAGAGAGATAATAGGTAGTGTGGTTAGTAAGTGCAGTTTACTTGAAAGATATCAAAAGCAGGGCCCGTGTCTTTTCTGCAGTGGTTATATAAATGCTTGGTTTGATTTTATAGATGGGCTAAGTTCCTTCAGATTTATTTCACTCACACTGTAGTATTGTTCATTAAGAGTTTTCTATTGGCCTCATGGCAATAGGTACCTGTTGTGACAATCAGGCAAAATCCAGGGAATGTCACCAGTAGTGTCAAAATGGGATTGAGAAAGAGGGAGCCAGCACCAACTGCATCATTCTGATATAAAATCTCTTGCCTTCGGGGCTGCAAAATTGCATCTGACAAAAAGTGAAAGTCTTGTCGCGTGGATTTCCCAACATTCCTAAATGTCAGAGCTTCATCTCCAGGTTCTCCGAGGTCTAACAGGGGGGTTGAGTAGGGTTTTGTGGAGACTCTCCCACCCAAGTATTTATCAAGTCAGTTTGTTACTGGGAATGCAGTTAATCCTGGAAGACTTCAGAGATCTCTAGATTCAAGCATGTTTTCTAGGCTCCTTCTGTTAGGTGGAATATGAGATGGTGCCTCTTCCTCTGTCCTGTCCTTCTCCCTTCTCTTGCTGTTTTCTTGGAAGGTAGTGAAGTTCTTCTGGAAGTGCTTACCTTTCCCTATGCTACTGAGCAGGTTTAGGCAGTTGGCTCAGGCTGCTTGGCCCTTGAGCTTTGCCAGAAGACTGTCAAAGACAGAAAAGCTTCCAGTGCAAGTATGTTCTGACTGAATTCCTTATTCTTTTTTTCCTCTGTTCAGTATAAGACTTTCATTTTGTTACACTAATATATAATAGAGTCTCAGTTTTCGGATGGGACTAGCATGAATGCAAGCAAAATTCCTTATTCAGGAATAACACAGTCACATCAACAAAAGCCTGCTTGGCCCATGCACATTGTAGCATTATGTGTGAAAGACGTGCTCTTCTATATCCTGCAAACTGAACTAGAGACCCATTCCCCTTTACATGGCTGTAACCACTTCCTCTGTACAGGTCAGCTGTGATTTGACTGCACAGTGTCTTTACACTCACAAACCTCATGCTAATAACACGTTGGAAAGTGCTCATTCTACACATTACATAAAAGCATTGTTTTAAATGAATCTTTAACTTGTGTTTTAAAAGCCTTTAAAATACCATTGCAGTATAATGGTATTTACCATTCAGTTCATCTCTTCACCCAGTTGGGGTTTCTAAGTTCAAGTTTCATTACCTGTAATACTTCTGTGATGGCTACAGACCTGTTTGGTGATTCTGGGGTGTTTTGTTGTTATCTTTAACCACTTTGTTGGGGTTTGTGGGGTTTTTTTGTGATAGACATTCCAATTTTTTTCTTTCCAGATAAAGATGTACAGAAGATCCAAATGTTGGCAACCTGTAAGAGTAGCGTGCTTACTTGTTGGGTTTATGTGGCTGCACCTTTGTTGATATGAATTGATCTGTTTTGTATCCCAAAGGAAGCAAGCAATGTTATGGCTGGAGGGAGATCTCATCCAATCAAAGCAGAAACAGCGAGTCCTTGATGGAAACATTAACAGAGTTCTTTGTGGCTTGAAGGACATTTCAATCAGTGACAGCTTGAATAAAGTGAAAGACTTGGATCAATACAGGCAGGTAGGAGTTTGTAGGGAAGATTTCAAATAAGCAGAGATGGAGTTGATCCGTTAATAACTAGCTTGAGATAATGTTTAATTTTTTTCGGCTTGTATTAGTATTCAGTTGCTTTTTCACAACTCAAACGTTCTGGTTTAAACTGATGGAGGTATTTCTTCAAACTTCAAAAAACTTGCATTAGTTCAAGTCATTCTTTTGGGGGTTTCAGTTGGTGATTGCAAAAAAACCAAATCAGTTCTCCTCCTGAAAATGTATTTATTCCAAATTCCTAGCTAACAATGCATGAGCGTATAGATGGCCCTCCCTTTATCATATGGATTACTGATGAGATATGTACATTTAGGGTAAGGACCTTACAGTTACTTCTTGGAAGCACAGGCATGAAACATGAATGAACGTGATCATACTTGTGTGTTCTGGGTGAGTCAAACCCTTGAACTGTAGTTTCCTACAGTATCTGTAAGAAGCAGTTTAGAGGAACTATGCATTTGATCAATGCTGTGTTAGCTCTGTAATAACTAAAGAGCTTTCACCTTGCTGACAGAGTCCTTAACTTGATGTAAAAGACCAGGGATGTCGTGGGCATCTGTCACATCATCTGTCATCATCTGTAAAGGTATTATGGAATATAAAAAGTCTGTGGCTTGGGATCTATAAAGTTAAATACCTAGATTCTGAATGGAAAATGTAACACTGTGTAGGGATGATCTTGGACACCAGATGAAAACAGTTGGCACACAGCTGTATGGGTAAAAGTAGTCTTCAAATCTGAGCTACTGCTACAACTTTACTGCTTCCAGTATTCAAGGCAACTTACTCGCAGGTAACTCAACTACCTGTACGCTTTGTAGCAGCTTATGTACAGGTTCACAGTACAAACTCACAGTGCCACTTTCTTCTCCTGTAAACCTCTCTGTACTATGTGTATTTAATCTTTTTACAGATGTCATATTAAAGTTAACACTCAGATTTCAAAACATTTAACTTATATCTTTATCTCTTTGGATATGTGATTATATTTCAAAACCTCATTATACTGGGCTCTCTAGAAGCTCAAACCAAACTGATGTTCCCAGTCCCCCATATGCATATGGTCTCAGAATGAGAGGGCAGAACAGCTCATGCAGTAACTGTTGGGCATGGAAAGACAGTGAAACAGAGTTTACCACCATTGAGGTAACAGTGGCCTAGCAGATAATCCTCAATGAAATCTAGCTAAAATGTTTATATTGTCCTATAATTAATGCAACACTTGGACCTTCACATGATTGGATTAACTTTTATTGTGTTGCTACTCCTGTAAACCTTTTGTCTGGGTTAATGGCAGAAACTATTAAACATAGAATCCCAGCCTGGTTTGGGTTGGAAGAGACCTTAAAGCTCATCTTATTTCCAACCCCCTGCCCCGGGCAGGGACACCTCACACTAGAGCAGGTTGCTCCAAGCCCCTGTGTCCAACCTGGCCTTGAACACTGCCAGGGATGGGGCAGCCACAGCTTCTCTGGGCACCCTGTGCCAGCGCCTCAGCACCCTCACAGGGAAGAGCTTCTGCCTCAGAGCTCATCTCAGCCTCCCCTCTGGCAGGTTAAAGCCATTCCCCTTGTCCTGTCCCTACAGGCCCTTGTGAAGTCGCAAGTTTTGGTCATGAAAACAGAATGTATCTTTGTTCTTGCTCTTCTGGCTTGCAGCTACTTTCACTAAGTCCATTCATCCAAATTAACATAGAAAGTAGTGTACCCACAATACAAAGACTCAGGGGAAGAGAAGCAGAAGGAAACAGGAAAAGATACAGCTTGACCCGAAGGATCTGCTGTCATTTGTAACGTCAGCCTTATATCCAGGCTAGATTGGTACTGCAGATTGTACAAAGCACTCACTATTGTTCTGTTTTCTGCAGAGCAGCAAGGTCACTTAGGCACAACAGGAACTGCAGTAATGCAAACAAACACTTGTCTGAGCTCAAATGAAGCATAATGGCCATAAACTAACCCACAGCAAGTGTCACCTCAACATGAGGAAGAACTTCTCTATGTTGAGGGTGTCAGAGCCCTGGCACAGGCTGCCCAGGGGGGTTGTGGAGTCTCCCTCTCTGGAGACATCCCAAACCCACCTGGACACGTCCCTGTGTGTGTGCCCTGCTCTGGGTGGCCCTGCCTTGGGCAAGGGGTTGGACTGGGTGATCTCCAGAGATCCCTTCCAACACTGATGGTTCTGTGAGTCTGTCGTAACTGGTATGAGTTGGTTTCATTTGACAATAAAAAACTACAGTTCTCCCCTTGCTTTGTGTAGCTTCATATTCCTCTGCTTCCCTTCCACATTAAGGATAACTTTAAAAATAGTCCTGGAGGAAGGAGTTGAATTTTAGGTCCTATGAAAGCCCACTTCTTTGAAGTCAATAAATATTGGCACTAGACTGACTTTGAGATCAAATCCTGCAAAAAGCCTCTGTGGAAGCGTGTTTGTGAGTGGCAGAGTTTACTGAGCTGGGCAAGGACAGAGCAGTGCCCCATCCATGCAGAGGGATTAGCCTTTCAAATCACAGTCTTTGCAAAGGAGATGCTCAATACTTTGAAACTACTGCTAAGGATCTGATGGATTTCCTTGCTTGTATGCTTCATCTTTCCCAGGGTGAGCTTGAAGACAATGCAGATGTGGAAGCTCAGGATGGCATGACGCAGGGAGATAAGCTCAATGCCTTAAAAACTCGGAGACGGACGTGTTCTAGTACAGCTGGAGCTCTGAGGTAAGTGTTAATGAATTCTGGGGGAAGCTGCAATGTGAAATTCAGCTAGTGCTGAAGCAAGCACACGGCCTTGGTTGTTGCACCACCTTCTGTGGTGGAACTCTCTCTAGATATATATCTGTTAGTTGCAGATTCGATGGTTTTCTGTCTCTTTCTCTTCTGTTCTTTGTCTCTTTCTGTTCAGGCTACCTGCTTACTATGTAGCAGTAAAAGGCAAAGTAAAAAATACCTCAAAACCTTCAGATTTCTCTCTAGCACTTTACGGTTTTTGCCTCAAAATATTCTTCAGTGAACTCTCTGTGCTCCCTATAGAAATGTGAAACTTTTCAGACCCAGTAAAAATGGGAAGTGTGAAAATAAACCTGCAATACTTCTCCGTTGTTGAACTGGAAATGGAAACAATGATTGTCAATAATTCCTAACTCTTGTCAGTCTTCTACTTTAAAGCCAGTATGAGACAGGAGTCTGCTTTGTGAGAGGGGGAAGGCTCTTTATGGTTTGATAAAGACTGCTGCTTTTGTTTCTTTAGGCTGCAAGACACAAAACTACACACCAGGTCACGATCACAACCTTTCAGGTATTAACTTTAACTTTATAGTTCTCCGTGGGTACCACTCAGGGCTTGTATTTTCAGTGTTTTTAATTATCACACCAATTTATCAGTAATTTCACACTTCTGATAACAGACTTTAACACCTGCAAATGCTGGTGGGAAGTAAGGGACAGAGGGGTACAGCTCCGCTTCGGGGATACGAGTCATTTCCTCACTCACGTTTTCTAGTGTCGATGGTGTTCTGCAGTGAAGGATGAGTAACGGGGGTGGTTTAACCCCAGCCAGCAACTTGCTCGCTCCTCCCCAGTGGGATGGGGGAGAGAATGGGAAGGGTAAAAGTGGGGAAACAACTTACGGGTTAAGACAAAGGCAGTTGAACAGGGACAGCAAAAGCCACGCACACAAGCAAAGCAGAACAAGGGATTCATTCACCCCTTCCCATGGTCAGGGTTCAGCCACCTCCAGGCCAGCAGGGCCCCATCACACGTAACCGTTACCTGGGGAGACCGATGCTGTAACTCTGAACGTCCCCACTTCCTCCTCCCTCCCCAGCTGTATGTGCCGAGCGTGACTCCATCTGGTCTGGAGCATCCCTTTGGTCCCTTGGGATCAGCAGTGTCCCCTCCCAGCTCCTTGTGCACCCCCAGCCTCCTCGCTGGTGGGGTGAGAGGCACAAACAGCCTGGACTCTGCGTAAGCTTTGCTCAGTGGGAACTGAAACATCCCCGTGTTATCAGCAGAGTGTGCAGCACAAATCCAAACCACTGCCCCATACTAGAGGCTATGAAGAAAATTAATTATCCCAGCCAAAACCAGCCCACCAGTTAACACACAACCACTTTCTCTCTGTAAACTTACTTGTCTCAAATGCCTAAACTGGCTACGTGTTGTCTGCATATCACATGTGTGGTTTAGTAGCTGAAGTAGAGGTATTGCTTAGTGGATACAACCAGTGCTGTTCTTCAGAGAATAAAGAGGGAGTTTCAGTACCTTTTCATACAGGGTCCTCACTGGTACTTTACTACAGGCTTTGCTCAGAACTTTCTGTGGGGCCAATAAAGCCATTAGTTTCTTCTTGTTTTCTACATGCTCATTTGTGACCTTTGCTCGTCTCCAATCAGCACTGACCGTGCCACCCAAAAAAATAGAGTGAAAATTGACTTAATTTTTAAGAGTTAGAGAATTCAGTCTCATGGTGTCCTTTACCCCACTGCACCTAAAGTACAGCATGTAAGATAAGCTGTCTGTCAGTAGAAAGCATTAATACTGAAAGGAACACATTCTCTTTTGTGCCAACCTGGATTCTGGAAACAGATTACTCCAGATGTCCAGCCTTGGAGGTGTCCATTTACCCTTTCTTGGTGTGGAATGAAAGCCATTTCTGCTCAGTATCATTCTGTGCTGGTAGCTGGAGACTTGTACCCAAGGTTTTTCATCATTTAAGAGCTGCTGCTGCTAATATCCCCTGGTGTAAAGATGGAGAGAACTTCATTCTACTGTGAGGCTATTTATTTGCAGGCTTTTAGTAAGTGAACATGGCCAGCTCTAATGCTGGCATTTTTGAGTAGTCCAGTGCCCCACACTTCCAGCTGCACAATGTGGTACAGCAGGGGACAAACCTGAGTGGGATCTTTGAAGAGTCTATTAGAAAGAGATTTAAACCCAGGCAAACGGATGTGTTTTCACTGTTGAGTTCTTAGCACTGAACCCTGAGAATTCCCACTTTTTAGAGTACCACTCTGAAGCACCAGGCTAGAAGGCTCTGTGTGTTTCTGAGGTGTATATTTCATGATACAACCCTTGCTTCTCACTAAAACTCTGCGCTCTTTTTAGACTCAATACTTCAGGTAGCACAGAAGGATCCATGTCTCCTCTGAAGGCCTCCAAGGTGATGGCAGTTAATTCACCATCTGCAGAAAGAATAAGCAGAATTTCTACATCCTCAGGCTCTAACCTTAAAAGGTTTGGGTGTTTTTTCCTTCTCGTTTTGGTTCAGTGGTACACAATGGCTTTCAAGCACGTATGCAGGCTGTGAAGGGCTTGCTGTTCTTGGGTGTAAGAAGGGTTAAATTTACTTCCAGAGTGATTTGCTGTTCCACCAGCCAAACTTTAGTTGCTTGCAGATTTAAAAACTCAAACAAACCCCCAAAACTTATGCTGCTGGCATGAGAGTTTTGGTGGGATTATATCAAGTATTCCCACGAGTCTATTTACTGTTAATGACAGAAGAATATTGAGTGATCTTTAATTTCATGAACCCATTATTTCTGGTTTACTACGTAATGATGGATGTTAAGTGAAATTTAGAATGATTGATGCATTTTTAGTAACTTCTGGGCACAACTATTCACTTGAAGAAAATAACTGAAGAGGTATTTCAGGGCACCCTATTTTTCTTCCCAAATTTTATCATGCTACTTCTTGGTTACTTGAGGACTTCTATCACATTACTGATGTCAAGAAACAGAAGGGGAGTTCTTAAACTGCTCCATGTACACAAAATACTTCCCTGTAGATCAGCCACTGCCTAAACCTTTTAACACAACCTCCTTCATGGGCGTATAGTTTGGCAGAGGTGAAAGCTGGCCATGGTAGTGCTTGAATAAGCCAAGTTTGGGAAGTCCTGACAAAGAATTCTGGGTTTCACTAGTTGAGAGCTAGAAGATGAACGCAAATAATTCCAGAATGGTCTATGTTGTTCACTGAATGTCTTCTGAATTGTCTGTTGTTTTTCTGTATGTATCTGTACATATCTTGTGTGTATTTTTCTTTTTTCCCCATATGTGTTTTCTATTCAGTGTTTCCATACACTCCAGACTAGCCAGTTCTCTAGGGAACCTGTACGCTGCTTCAGATGATGATGAGAGCAAACTGACATCATCGTCCTCTAGGACAGGTCTTTCTGTAAGCCATATCTCCAGCCACTTGAAGGGCAGCTTGCAGCTGCCTCACAGCAATAACCATGAACTGAACAACAACTTGTACAACAGAAACAGCAGTAGTGGCAGCAGCCTGAGCAGCCCAACCAGTTTCCCCAGCGCCGTGACAGATGAGTATGCATCAACCTTCCTTTATGGGCCCTACGACTCCTCCAGCACGATCCCAGAATCAATGAATTCCTGTAAGTTCATAGTTACAACAGCACTGTCAGGCATCTGAGCAATGCTGATCTTCCTTGCTTCTGCCAGCAGAGCTGTCCCAAAACAGTCCCAGTGTGATCCTCTCACTTCATGTTTCTGAACAACAACTTTGTCTCTTGCCTTCGAAAGTAATTCTCATTTCATCTGCTTTTTTTCCACCTCTTTCAAGCATCTAGCTCAAGGAGGTTCATGAAAATAAATGACTCCTGAACTTCAGCTAACACCTTTTCTGCTATCTTTTTTATGAACCTTCTTGCCCTTTAGTTTTCTTTAAATTTCAAATTATCTATAACATAGTTTATAAGTTTATTAAGTATCTTAATCTTCATGCAGTAACAGAGTTAAAGAAGCCTTTGTATGTATCACACTAAAAGTACAGCAGTCTTACGGATAGGGTTCATGTGAAAGATGTGTCCACTTGACATGAAACCTAGTCCTTTTCTAATACCAAATGGGAAAAGTATTTTAGAGAAAGGTATTTCTGATGGTCTCACTATTTTAGCTTTCATTCCTCGACAACTTAGGATCATGGAATCCCAGACTGGTTTGGGTTGGAAGGGACCTTAAGCCCATCCAGTTCCAACCCCCTGCCATGGGCAGGGATATCTCACATTAGACCATGTTGCCCAAAGTTCTGTCCAGCCTGGCCTTGAACAGTGCCAGGGATGGAGCAGCACTTCCTTTGTGCTGCTTTGGGCTTATTTTGTGCCCTTTTTCTGTGTGAAAGTCTGTATAAAGAGGGTGTGTGGAGAAATTAATGCAACTTGAAAATGCAGAAAAGAGAGACTATAGAAACTCGTAACTCGGTTATGAAATCAGAAATAACTTCAGGTATTTTAGGGAAAAATAAACATATTTACTACTATAAATCTACAAATAATTTGCAATATCTGGTTTGAAAAGATTTGTATCCTACTAACCATAAAGTGCTGTGTTTTTAACAGAATATTAAAACCCCCACAATTAATGGAACCTGCCAGCCTCTGTTCAGCAGTACCAACACTTCTGAGTGTTATATTTTAGCTCCTGGAAGTTAAACTGTCTTCATATAAAATTAACTTCAGAATATGACACCTTTCTCTCCTGTTTCCTTATCACTGACAAATTCTTTCATTCTAAAGTTTTAGTGTTGTACCTGCTACTGGGTTTGAGTGTGGCCAGTCTGGTGCCTTTGAACACCTAATACACATTGTGTGTAACCAGGGCGTTTGTGAGTTACCTGGGAGGCAACCTTACTTCAGAATAACAATGGCTAAACTGCTTTCCTGCTTGAAAGATGATTTTCAACTACGTCCTGAACGTTGCATGTGCTGCTAAATACACCACATGGCCTTGTGCATCTGTCACAACTGCAGTGGAGTGCACTGAATTGTTACCTGCTTTAAGTACAGTGGACTGAGTTGAGTGCAGATCCTGGGATGTCATGGTGTGTAAAACAGGAGTAGGTTATTTGATCATCTAATCTCTGAATGCTTTCTGTCTGGTAGGGAGCCTCTGACTTACTGGCTAATACAGATCCATCTTGATGTTGCTTTATTTTGAACACAGTATAATTTTTCTTGGTAATTAGTCCCACTGGTTGAATACAGTCATTTCACTTTCAATCTGAAACATGTATCTCTTTATTGTGTCATGGTTATAGTCCTTTATTACACTATTTTCCTGTTAGGAAAGTATTTCATGCTAGTCATCTCAACTCGATTGTCTTCTGATAAGCTAAGTTGGCTCAAAGATCCTTTAGGAAAGTGTTCAAATCCTTTTACAGGTGTTGAAAATCCCTTCTCAAGCAGTCGATGCAACACTTAAATTCATCTTTCAGGTCCAGAAAGCTATTCCTCGGTGCTGTCCTGCTTAGAAATCCATAGTTTGTGTTGGCTTTGTTAACTGTAATGCATTGGGAATTCATGAGAGGCACTGACTTGTATTTTAGCCCAATGTCCTGCATTCCTGTTTATGTTTTATGTGGAACTCTGTGGAAAAGCAGCATCTTCCCCCTCACTCCCACCCCCTTCTTAATAGGACCCATTAACCAGCCACGGACCATGTTGTGTTTCACCACTGCCAACCACTGACATCCAGCTGTTTTGCTTTTGGTGATGTTCATCAGTGCTGTTGAGCTCTGAGCAAAATATGGAGTAGCATCGAGCCTTAACACCACCAGTAGTGGTTGGCAGAACTCTGTTCAAAGCAGACTTCTACTTAATGATTTCCACTTGACTGCTTTAGATGCTGAAATGACTTGGAACTCTTGACAGCTAACCCTCAGTCTTGTTGCTGGAAGTGTTTGCATTACATTGCACTTCTTTCTAATTGGAGCACATCAGATGCTGTACCTGACAGAAGCCTGTTCCATACACTGCTGGTGATGTTTATTCATTTAATTTATCACATCAAAGAACTCCTGAACGATATGAATTCTATTCCTCCTCGTTTTACTAGCAGAATCTCCCTTGCCCGAGTTAGATCTCCAGCTATCCATCTGTAATCGTACAGGTACTCTGCTTTTAGAAAATCATCATTCTAAGTTTGTTAACTATCAGCACAAGTGGTGCATGAGCATTTTATAATGGTTAGGGCAGTAAAATTGCAGTTCTAATTATTTTTCTTCAATCTCATTAGCGAGGACATTGGGAACTACATTTTTATGCAACGCAAGTACATATTTTTTTGTTTCTTCAGTCTGGAGAAGTTAATACTCTCTTTTTCTTTTTTCTGTTTATAATGAGAATCTTTAAAACCCACTTATTAATACTAGTGTTCCACAGACAAATCCCAGACATGACTCTCACTTCCTCTTATTGTCAGCTATTTTTTCCTAATGGTTTTTGTCCTTCATCCGTGGAGCTCATGATCCATTTCCTTTTTATCACGTTCCTGTTGTTGTGTGCTGATGAACTAGGAAAAAAAGCTTGATTTTCACAGAATGGTCAGCTTGCCATTCTAGCCAAATAGAAGAAATGCTTTATTTACAAATGGGATGTTTTGATTAAACAGAATCTCTCACAATTATAATTGGCAGAAATATTCTTACCGAGTAGAATCACATTTAAGGTACCACAATAAGACTTTGGCTTTTTTCTTACAGTCGTTATAAATCCAAATATCACTCTTTAAAATGTATTTTTATGGAAGAGTGTAACTGGGTAGTTTTAGGATGAGTCACCTTTTGCTTCTATAGCTGTCATGGAAACTGGCAAGATGGAAAATGCTCAAAAAAGTGAAGTGTTAGCAGTGTTTTAAAATTTATATACATCATCTTCATATGTTTCTCTTAATAAAAGCTTCCCATTAATGAATATAGGACAGCCTTTGCAAAAAAGAAAGACAAACACCAGTGCATCTCCCTGATCTGGACATCTGGCAGACACAAAGGGTTACTTCAAGTGCCTGTGCGTTCTGCGTAACATAGATTTATTTTAGTGCATCTTGTGGACTCGGGGTAATTCTCGCCTGTTGCAGCAGAGGTTTAGGAGAGTTGATGCTCAGTTCAAAACTCTGACGTTACTTTCTGCAATTCTCTGGGAAAAGTCCATATTCAGGTGCTAACAAATAGTCGAAATGCTCTCAGGAGGTTCTCTCTTGAAAGCTGACTCACAGCTCGCTTGGTCCTCAAGTTAAATGCTTGTGAATACGGTTCTCATGCCCAGGAGGATCTGTGGCTTTTCTCTTCCAGGAGGCTTTCCGTGCCTCCGGCTGAAGAAGAAGGATAGTGATCTAAGCAGTTGCTTGAGCATGAACTTCATTAGATATAGTTAACTACAGTGGAGCTAATTCTTTGTTTAAACATCTGATACTTGGGTATAAAGTGACAAGCTTAAGACTTGCATAGGACCACTGTGAGGGTACGCTGAAAGTCCTACTCAATTAGCTGAGTTTTATACTCTCATCACTGCAGTTCAGCAATTTCCTTTGGGTTTTTTTGCCTTCTATTTTTACCTCTGCTTTAAATGAGATTTTGTTAAATACCAGCATGTGCCTTGTAAAGGTGGATTGGGGTCTTTTGTTTCGAATAAAGCTTTCAGAATCACAGGACATACTTTGAGGCCCTGCAAATAGGAGGTAGGAATGTAAATTTTAAAATAGAAAATTCAAAAGATTTTAAAAGGGAAAAAAAAAAATCACAATTACAGGCTTTGAAATATTACAATCAATCTTTTTGGACAATGTGAAGAGATTTAAAGGCACAAATTCCATAACTGCAAAAGCAACCAAAGTAAGTTTACACTTCAGAATCTTTCATTTATGGATTTCTTGCTTGTTTATTCAAATCCTGATGTAGAATTCTTGGTTACTACTGTCTGCTAAGCAAAGGGCTGGGGTTCGTAGTTCTTTGTCAGCTAATGGCTAGGTGTTCCCAGGCTCACCAGAAGCATACAGTGCTTTCTGGTCATCTTTCATCTGTCCAAGCTTAAATGAATCTGTACTGCACAACATAGGAGAGTGGATAATTAAATGTCATGCATTTTTTAATGTTTGTTAATCAACTTCACTTGGAATTCAGTTCTGAAGGATCCATCTCAAATGCTGCTCTGATTAGGTGTAACAATCTTTCTGGTGATTAAAATGCACATCTGAAAACGAGTAAGCTTTGAGGGCTGCTCCTTCTGCCTCGCTCTTACACATACAATAAATAGGTTGACAAGTGCTCTCCCCAAAGCTAATAATCCAGAAGGATTATTAGAGAATGGAGTGGGGGGAAAAGCTTCTATTATTGTGTTTGGCAATTCCACAGTGATTCTGAGCCTATGATGAAAAAATACTTGTTATTTCTGTTTAGTTTTGCAGTAAAGTATTTTCTACTAAATGATACCCTTCATGTTGAATCCATTCAGTGCTAAAAACAGACCCTTTTTAGTCAGTGGTATTCAAATCTTTACATGCTGACAGCACTTTTTAAACCTAGGAAAGAATATCCAGATGGTCTCAGATCTTCAAGATGTGAAAATGCTTTTAAAAGACAACTTTGGAAATGCACACCGAGACCTAAGATACAGAAAAAAGTGGGTTTGTGGCATTAGTTAGAGCTCTAAAGGTTTATATATCTGTTATGCACTTCTCACTATGTGTAACAAAGAGCATTTCTATACGGAGTAGTTAAGAATAGTGGGAAAATGGAAGACTCCAAGGATCTGAGCTTTCTTGGGATTCATGCTCTTCTCCAGTGGTTCTCTCTCATTCTGATGAATTGATGCAGTTTTAAGATATGATTTGAGGCTTTTATTTGCTATTTGTTTATAACTAGTACAGTGCAAACCTCTCTCAGATAAGACTTCTTATTCATCAGGATCCCAGCCTGGTTTGTGTTGGAAGGGACCTTAAAGCTCACCCAGCTCCAACCCCTGCCACGGGCAGGGACACCTCACACTAGAGCAGGTTGCTCCAAGCCCCTGTGTCCAACCTGGCCTTGAACACTGCCAGGGATGGGGCAGCCACAGCTTCTCTGGGCACCCTGTGCCAGCGCCTCAGCACCCTCACAGGGAAGAGCTTCTGCCTAATGTCTCATCTCAGCCTCCCCTCTGGCAGGTTAAAGCCATTCCCCTTGTCCTGCCCCTCCAGGCCCTTGTAAAATCATCAGAGACATCTTGAGCACGTTTGGATGCTCTCTAAGCTACTTTATAATGGAACCAGAAATGCAATAAATTCAGTAGACCAGGTTATGTTCTCCTCCTCTTCATGATACGACTGCATGCTGATCCAGATGAACTATTTGCAGAGCTTCATTTTCATCTGGTTTTAGTAATCCTACATAAATTTATTCATGTGCATAATGGTGCTGCTGTAGGTTTTTTCTCAGTAAGTAGCTATATCGTGTCTGTTGCCTCCCTTTCCCTGAATCAGCACCTAAATAATGCTTATTTTTTACAGTAGCACTTTGATTGTCATTCAGGACAAATGGAAACAATTCAATTAGAATAACTGCAATCATCTGTTTTCCCAACACATTTTTAAGGTATTGCTTTAAGGTGCTGTTTTAAAGGACTTGTAACGCTTCTCTAATCTTGTTCTAACTCCTCCTTCCTGTCCTTTCTCCACTCCTTGAGTGCAAAATGCATATTACATACCAATATAACCTCCCCAGTGAGTTTTAATCAGTTTTTCTTCTCTGCACAGTCCCTTCAGTCTGAGTATGTTCAGTACTAAAGCCTTGCTGCTTTGGTGAAACCTGCTGAGCTCTTAAAATCCAAGTCCTTCATAAAGAAGAACTTCGGGAAGGAAGCTGCTTGCTCAGAGGAGGAATCTTCAATACACAGGACATATTAAACCCTTAACGAAGAGGAGACTTCTTAACAGGCAGAAATTTCTTGTTACTGACTACTGCAGCTGCACTGATGTTAAATTTATCAAAGTTCTTACCCCATGTTATATGCAGATTTAAATTTTTAGTGTTGAGCCAGCTTGAATATATTTCTAGTGAGTTTCATTAAGACATTTATTAACTTGTGTACAGTGTTAAAATATGTATCTAGAGAATATTTTGGTAAGCAATATATATAAAAATGATGTAAAAATTAGAATATATTTTGATCTAGTGTCCACTTTGCTACAAAAATATGTATTTTAAAGAATTTGTACACGTTTATCAAAGATACAGATTTTTTTATGAACAAGAAGATTTTCTTGGTGTTAGGGGTCCACCATTCTTGCAGAGAGCCTGAGGTAATTACTTTTTCACTACTTGGTCTTCTGGTAACTTAGTGGAAGCCTGACTAGTGAGAGACTAGTTACTGCACTATCAACGGAAAGCACTTGGTGCAGAGTCTCTTTCCACTTTAGCTGCTAATGTTTCATAAGGAAACGCTGTGAAAGAAAAATAAAGGGAAAATCTTGGTTGAGATGGAACTTAGATCTTCTGCTGCAAAGAGAAAGTGATTTATCTGATGATTCAGTTCTAGAATTAACGCTTTCTTTCCATTTGTCTTAAAGGAATGTTTTCACTTTCTTTCCAATGTAGAATGTTACATTTTGCTATGCAATATACGCTGCAGAAACGAAGGCACGCCGGGCTGCAGTTGGTAAGAATGTGTATGTACAGTGAGTTGGGCAGTGCTGCATACTTAACATAGTTTTAACCTACATCTGGCACTATGTGTACGCTTTCATTAGCAAAGATGTTGGAAGTATATTAAATTTTCACTTATCAGTTGGATAAGTTTGGCTATCTTACCAATTGGGTAACATCAGCTGGATGTTTCCTAAACCTTTTGGTTTGAATACTGCTGTTAAACACATAGCTACTATAAGCTCCTGTATCACAGAATGTTTTTTGTCAGTAGTAAAGATGCTCTTTAATGTCGAGTTTAATCAGGTGTTATTAGGGAGGAGACTGGGAATGAAGCGGTGTCACAGTGAAGCACTGGAGATCCCATGGGAAATTTTCACAACTCCACAAGTGCACAGTAAGCAAACTAAAAAACGTACCCAGCTGTGAGGACTTGATTTGCCACTAGTTTATAGAAGACAAAACCAGACCAGATTTATTACCTAGGCGTTTCTCTGATACCTACAGGATCAAACTTGGTTGAATTGTCCGTCTGTTCCTGAAGATCAGGAATTCCCTGCATTTGCTTGACAGCTGAAATTAAGATAAAGTGCCACATTATTTATTTAAAAGATAAGCTCACAAATTGCTATGGCAGGTTGTACTGAAAGTGTTACTAAGCAATACTGAGAGCAGCTATATAAGTCACTGAATAAAATCTCCATGCAATACTGTACTTTTTCCACAACTGTGTATATGTAACATATACACACACAAAGTAGCATATGTGTGTGCATATATATACAATATACTGTATATTAATTATAGATTAATGGTAAGGTAATTCTACCTCTTATAAAGAATTTTGTCATGTACTTTGTTATAAATAGTTTTCCTTGATAAAATATTGTTTAATTTTGAAATGTAGAGAGATATATATATATACACATACAGCTAATTGATAATAAAATGCCTATATCATCCAGCCTCCTTGTTTCTTGGCTTTTCTTACGTTAGATATTTTGATGCTAAATAATAAAAGTAGATCTCTAACCAAAGAGCAGCTCTTCCAAATCACCTTCCTTCTTCTAACGCGTGTGATGTATTTTTAAGTAAGGTGACATTGCACTAAGTCGTTAGTATGATGGATATCTTTTATAACATCTCTAGCTAACCTTGTACTTGCTTTGTATAACATCAAGTATTTAATCAGCGCGTTGATGCTATGATGTAAAGGTTGCATTTGAAAATACCATAACTTAAAAGCTGCGTCTGAATTGAGGAAGCTCTTCTTTCCTGGACAAGGACCCCTGTTAAAAGCGTACTATACCTTGTCTTTTGCAGATGTAACAGGTTTCTTAGTCTCACGAACAGCAGGGTCTTTGTCCGTGAGAACCTAAAAAGATCATGCTTTCATTAGCTTCCTGTCCTTCCTTTCCATTAAAAACTAGTCACAGTTGGTGCTAACATGGTTTAACTCTGCTGCTGATTATCAGCACATTTGTGTGTTGCGTGATTATTTATCCAGGGTGCTTAATATTCCCCCGCAGTGGAGGGTGTGGACAGTATGGAACTGTTACCCAGCCACTCTAAAGGAATGGCAAAGCCAGGAACAGAGCTTTGGAAGTTGCCCAAATTCTGGTGACGGTCTAATCTAAAAGCACAATAAAGGCTTCTGCCACTAGGTTCAGGAAAATTAATGGATGGTGGTTGGGATGTGTAGAGTAAATATAAAGGAAAGGCAGCTAAATAATAAGTTTCCAGTACGTAGGAATTAACCTCTCCCCTAGCTTTTTTTGCTAGACTTCCTATACAAAATACGTAAATGCCAGCTAATATACAACATATTTTTTGTTCTTAAAAATTAGAGATAAATATAGCCAGTATTCTGTTACAATCAGCTTCCTAACAACAAATCTGGGGACAGTGAAAGCACAGGGAGAGCTTTAGAACCTCGTAGCTTTTAAGAAATATCCTGGAATTTGTTTCTCTGTTTATCCTCTGTTCACTTCTCCTTGAACTTTACCATTTCTGTTGCCTCATATATAAATGTACCTTCTTGTTCTGGGAGTGCGGGCACAGGAGATCATTAAAACAGGTTTGATAAAGAGGCAAGGATGGGTTAAACAGATCAAGAGATCTCGCTGGGCCTGTGATTCCGTGGCCTTATGAAACTGTTAATCAGCTCTATAAAGTGTGCTTTATGAAGCTTTTTGGTTAGGGAGAGATTTTGTGTTACAGATTTAGAGAATATTTTTCAATTACAGTACTGCAGAAAGAGGAGGATTTGAGTTTCTATAATAACTGTTCTCTACTGACAGCTAAACAATGAAAGGCCTCAAAAGGTTTGACACTTGATTAGATCTACACTGTAAAGTGCAGCAGGCAAAAAGTATGGTAATTAAGGGCCTGATCAAGTAAATCACTCAGGTATGTCTTTAACCTTGAGTACATGAGCAATCTAATTAATTAAAGAAGAACAGAGATATTCTTGTTGGTATAAACGCATATGTGGATCAATAGCCCTGTCAACTGCAAACGTGAGCCTTTCTGCCAAATAGAGATGTGCTGTGTTGCAAAAAAAATAATCCATTAACCCACACTAATTAACTTCAGTATCTTAAAAGAGTGCACATTGTAACTATAATTATTTCCCAATATATTATTTGGTGGTGTCATTTGTTAGCACCGTAAGTTTAACAAAGATACCTTTCGTCAATAAACAGATCATACCTTACGAGCCAGGAATGCTCATATCTGTAGCCTACATATATAACCCACTTGTAAAAGCAGCTTTTCTCCTACAGTCACCACAAAATTAAGCAGCACTCGTCCTCTGGGAGGCATTTTTGAGAGGAGATGTTAAGTTCTTTTACTTGTTTTCTTACCAAGTCTTGTGCAGGGTAAGGACGGGTAACATTCCATTACTGTTCGAATAAAGCACCCTTGAGTTCCTGGGGAGAATCCCGCTACGAACTCTTGTCCATTTGGGAAAGAACTGTTAAGTCCAACTTCTCACACAGCTTTTAGTCCACGTAAGCACCTGCCATTCACCTCTGCTGGAACTCGTGCTCTGAATCAATTCTGCTGTGAGACTCTTTCAAACACCATGCTGATTCCATTCTATCTGGCACCTCCAGCAGGCTGGCAATGCAGGATCTCCTGTGGGCTGAGACAGCCTGTTTCATCAAGAAATACTGAGTATTTAGGCTGAGGACCAGCTTCCTCAAATAAGGAATGCTGTCTTACCAAGGATCTGTGTTATCTATTGTGTTTGAATGATTTCATTTGGAAAGTATATTGTTATTACAGACCAGTTCTAAAATGAAGCTTTCAGAAGCCCACTGCAGTCTCTCTTAAAAAAGGCTCAGAAATAAAATCAGTTTAAGGGCAGTATCTTGCAGAGGATTTTCTCCAGTAAATGGACTGTGTTTCAGACAGAAGTGACTGATACCGGTTTGAAAGCCTGCTGCAAATGCAAGTTGTGTTAAATGGGTTCGAACCAGGAAACCGGTAAGGCAAAGAGAAGAGTCAGACTGTGTAGTTGCAGTATTTCTGGAGCATGACAGGGTTTGGGTTTTTTTCTTTTCTTTTTTTTTTTTTTTTGTTCTTGATTTAACAAGTTGAAAATCTGCTGAATAATTCATGAAGAGTGGAAGGGCTGAATCTTCCTGGAATGATATACAGTGTACGTAGTGTGGCACAGGAGAAACTGCAAAGCTTTGTATCAGTTGCTACCGTTTCTGCTGCTGATTGCAAGGTGCTGCTGCTCTTCTCCAGCATCCTCAGCCGTGCTCCGGTCTGCTCCCAGCCATCTCTGCTCCCTATGGACCCACCTTCGCTACCCACCCGCTGTGGGATCTCATAGTGCTGCCTGCCCTGGACCCTGCCGTTCTCTCCCACTGCAAACTGCGTTTTCCGGACGTTGCAGCTCGTATGAGTGGAACATGCCTTAAGAGTCCCCTCGGCTGCACATCCTCCCTTGTGCTCGGCGGGGGGCTCCTGCAGCAGGATCTTCTGACCCGGACCAGGATGGGACTTGCAGGGAGAAGCCAAAACTGAGCCGCATTCAGCGAGATGCCCAACGCCTCTTCCTGGAGTGCCAGCTCGCCTCTGCTGCTGCTCTGGGAGGACTCCTCTGGGACCCGCATCTTCCTCTCGC